TTGATAACTAAAATTCATTTATTAGTTTGAGTTTTTACGATAATCGTATCTTTCGTGTTTAATGGAACTACCCACATTTAACTTCATAATGTTTTGACATTTACATAGTTAGTTTGTATCAAATATTCGAAATATTGTGATTTAGTGCTATTTTCTCTTAAATTAAGCGATATAGAAGTGTTAAAAGTAAAAAGTATAATACTATTTTATAGCAAAATGTCTCGAAAATGTGTTAATAATCCCGACAATTTTTGTTATATCTGCGGTGAGGTGATATTTAATAAACAAAGGTGTTGTATATCGCCTATAATAAAAGAAGCCTATTTTTACTACTTTAACGAGAACATCAAACACCAGGATAAAAGCTGGGTTCCACATTTCTGCTGTAATCCATGTGCTACAGGTTTGAGAAATTGGCTGAATGGCAAAAAAAACATCATTTCGTTTTGCAGTGCCAATGCAGTGGCGAGAATCGACAAATCACGTAAGTGATTGTTATTTCTGCCTGACGACTCATGTATTTGGAAAAGGCAAGGGTGTTTCTAAAAAAAAGAAGAGTGCCATAACATATCCAAATATACCATCAGCTACTCGTCCTCTACCACACAGCGATCTTCATCCGATCCCGAAGCGTCCTCACATCGGTGACGACGAAGATGAAATCAAGGGAAGTTCACCATCAATTTCGTCAATGTCAGAATACGAGGTACCTAGTACATCAACACAGCCACACAGGATAACACAAGCTGAATTAAATGATCTCGTAAGGGACTTAGAATTGCCAAAGAACAAAGCAGAACTTTTAGGTTCAAGATTGCAACAATGGAACCTTTTACAAAGTGGTGTAGTTATAACATCTTTCCGTAACAGACAAAAACATTTGATGCAATATTTTGAAATGGCTGAAAGTTTAGTTTTTTGTAAAGATGTCCAGGGTTTGATGGGATCTCTTAACATTACATATAAACGGGAAGAATGGAGACTTTTTATAGACAGCTCTAAATTAAGTTTAAAAGCAGTATTGTTACATAACCAAAATATTTTACCATCGATCCCTATTGGTCATGCAGTCCATATGAAAGAATCTTATGATAACATGAAAACGCTTTTGCTGCAGATAAAATATAATGATCACCAATGGCTAATTTGCGGAGATTTAAAAGTCGTAGCTATTCTACTTGGACTACAATTAGGCTATACGAAATTTTGTTGCTTTCTTTGCGAATGGGACAGTCGTGACAGAAAGCAGCATTATACAAAAAAAGTGTGGCCTCATCGTCAGTCACTTCAGCCTGGGATGAAAAATGTTCAAAATAACCCTTTAGTTGACCCACAAAAAGTGTTACTTCCACCACTGCACATAAAACTAGGGCTTATGAAAAATTTCGTAAAAGCAATGAACAAAAATGGAACTGCTTTTCACTACCTTCGCCAGAAATTTCCAAGATTAAGTGAGGCTAAAATAAAAGAAGGTATATTCGTTGGTCCCCAAATAAGAAATTTATTAAAAGACGAACACTTCGACACTATTTTGGAAGGCAAAGAAAAAAAAGCCTGGGACAATTTTCGCCTCGTGACAAAAAACTTCTTGGGAAATAAGAAGAGCGACAACTACGCTGAACTTATTGAAAATATGTTGTCATCTTACCAAGAACTGGGTTGTAACATGTCCCTGAAAATCCACTTTTTACATTCTCATTTGGACTTCTTTCCGGATAACTGTGGGGCCTTTAGCGATGAACATGGGGAGCGCTTCCACCAGGACATCGCTAACATGGAAAAACGATATCAGGGCAAGTGGAACGTTTCAATGTTAGCGGATTACTGCTGGACTATTCATCGAGATACTCCAGAAGCAGAGTACAAAAGGGCAGCGAAGAAACCACGTCGCAATTCTACTAATGAATAAAATAACGGTATAATTTCTGTTATTTTTTCAAAAAACTTTAAAATTTTTTTTTTAAGAAATGGAAACTAATTAAAAAAATATAATTGTAATTTCGTATGCAGTATGTCAACATAAATAAAAAAAGCTACTTACACTAGAAAATACTTTTTCATAATCAAAATTTGTATACTAGTGTAATAAATGTCCATGTTTAATGGTTTAATGGGAATGAAAGTAATGACTCGGGTACTTCAGGTTGGATCGTGTAAGTATTAAATGTTTACATTCTAACAAATTGTAATAGTGGGAGGAGTTTTTTAAATCACGTAAAATGTATTATCATTGTAACTTTTCAATATCGTAAATAGCATATATTGCTAGTAGTTATAGGTACATAAATAAAGGCTGTAGACAAATTCTTGATAGACGGTTGGTTAGGTTTTGATATATGCATGTTAGGTAAATTAGACAAGTCGAAATGCTTAACAACACGGGGACGCTTCTTTATTAACTTCCAAGTACTAATCAGATATCATGGGATCGAATTTGGCGTTAGAAACTTAGGGATATCATGTGCATATTTAAACACAACGATTTGTCACACTGATACACCAGAGTGGAAAACTATCTGTATCCAGAAGAACGCATATACATACATATACAGCTAGACGTGAACTAGCAGTTAGTGCCCAAAACAAGAACACAACAAAACCCTGCAACCGTAGGATGGCACCGCCCTTACTAAAGGTCACGGTATTTTCTTATTTAGGAGACAGCATCAAACCATCCGCCAAGTTACATACTGGATTAAATAGAGCACAAATTTATCCACCCAGACTTCAGGGTGGGCTAGACACAAAAATTCATATCGAATATCCAAGCCCAGCAGCAATCCCACCAAATGGATTTGAAGATCAATTGGGGTTAGTCTGATGGTACCTTGATCAAAAGGAGAGGATTTTCGTGATATGCAGGTTCAAGGCAGCAGTGCATAAAAACGCATAATAGTTTGGTAAATATACCAAAAACATCGTATTACATAGGGTATAACTAATAATATTACCTTCAGAATTGAACCTTAAGTTTTAAAACTAAAGTAATGTTATAATGGAAATATAAAAGTAGTGGGTTTTCTTGCGATTCAAAACAGTCAAATCCATTTCTAAATCAACTGACAGGAAGATACCACCTATAATTTCCCAGCACAGTGAAAAAATTTTTAAGCGTTTTTAAGAAATTAAATTTCTTCAAATGTGTGGTTGTCGGGGAGCGTGCGATAGCAACAAGAAATGCCTGTTTCCTCGTATGAAATAACTAACAATGCGCGAGTCCACCTAAACCGGAAATGATTTCAAGAAATAAAGCAAGGATATTTTCAGAATGCTTACAAAATATGCTTGCATAGTAAAAAATGTAAATAAACTCAGCATTCCAAGGTGACAAAGAAAATCAAATCATAAAAATGAGATTCATACATTGTTGTAACCATAAGTACTTATACTCATGGTATTAAACATACATATCTACATATATGAACCATTCTTGCAACCATAAGTACTTATGCTCATGGTATTAAAATTAAGCATACATATCTACCCAATTTGCCACAGGGCGAAGACGATGTTGTTACGACGTCGCTCTGGCGAAGTCGTTTGGGTATATGTATAGCCTCTAAACCTAAAAGACATACCAAAAATCTGCGATTCACCACCGAAAGGAGGACCGTCCGGATTTATAAAGTAAAACTATCTCTGCGATTCACCACCGAGAGGATCCAGAGAATATTTAAACGAAATTTTTATAAATTTGTATTCAATCATAAAAAGGGGTATTGTACAGCCTACACTGAGGGAAAAACCGCGGTCTAAATTTAAGCCTGTTGCGCTTAATTTTAGATTATACTGTTCTTAATTTTTTCGATACCCAACGGTCTTGATAGGAGACCAAAAAGTTCTTAAGTCAAGAACAAGTTCTTACTATTAGACCACAATTCTAGTATTAAGACCCAAATTCTTGCTTTTAGAACACAATTCTAGTATTAAGACCCAAATTCTTGCTTTTAGAACACAATTCTAGTATTAAGAACCAAGTTCTTGCTATTAGAACACACGATCTTATTTTTAGACCATCCGTTCTTAAATATATTCTATCCGTTCTGTGATTTATACCACGTTCTTAATTTTAGAACGCTACAAGATAAAATATGGAAAACTATTGTGTTTATGCAAATGACGCTACTAGTGAGGTAAATAATTGGGTTCTCTTTACCACGGAGCAACCAGTTACCTCTGAAGGGGCAATAGAAGCTCCAGAAAATTCTGTTCTGCCAGAAATAAATGAAAGTACATTAAGTACAGTTGGAGAAGATAATTCCACTATCGAAGATGACGAAAATCTTAAAACGTTGCTGAAAGAATTCAGACTGGAATGTATTTTTGAGAATTTAAAAGGTAAGTACATATTCCCTATTTGCATATATGAAAAGTATACTCTCATAAGTGTATTTTAGCTGCACAAATCACTTATAGATGCTTAAAATACATTCAAAAAGAGGATTTGAAAGAAGCAGTTCTACATCTTGGCCTACGCATAGAGTTTCGTGAAAAGTTATTCGCCTGGAGAAAAAATAAGGTAAATTGAACAATAGTTGTTAAGTTTATTTATGTACCTACACAGAAAGAAAAAAGATAGGTTAATCTAACCGAAAAAGATTGTAAATAAACCATTTTTCTATTTTACATTGAAAACACAAACAACAAGTACAATTCAGGTTGTTAATATAATCGACGAAAAATTGTTATACGAATTTGGAAATTTTTGACCGCAAAAATAGTTAAACTAATCGTTAGAATTGTAGAACATAAATTTAACTACAAAAAATGGTATGGCCAACCTGCAAAATGGTAAAGTTACTATTATTAACCACAAAAATAGTAAAACTAACCGGATGAAATTGTAACTCTACTATCTTGATTGTTAATCTAACTGAAAAGATAGTCTTCACGTAATTCTCTTCTCTCTTTCTTCCCTCTTCATGATGAGAATAACCACAAAAATAGTTAAACTAATCGTTAGAATTGTAGCACATAAATTTAACCACAAAAAATTGGTATGGCCAACCTGCAAAATGGTAAAGTTACTATTTTTAACCACAGAAATAGTAAAACTAACCGAATAAAATTGTAGCTCTACTATTTTGATTGTTAATCTAACCGAAAAGAGAGTTTATGCGATAAGAATAACGGCACTTTTGATGCTTTGCTTCTTTTCTTCTTTCATATTCATTTGCAAACTTTTCATGGACGTTGTTATTTGCGTAGGTGCAGTGAAGTGAAATTATATTAATTAATATATTAAAATTAAGTGTTGATGAATCTTAACAATAGTGAATTGTTTTCGCTAAATATTTTGCGTGCTGTGGAGGCGGATGATATGGATAATCCTGATCCAGAAGACACGGAATTTTGTAAATTGATTTTGGAGTGGGGATTTTCACATAAAATCGCTGAATTTAAAGGTAAGTTGCAAATACATTGTCATTGTTGTAGTTTTTAGTTAATTTAGTGAAATTCCAGCGCAAGCAATAACCTTGAAAAATTTGCAATATCTGACGGAGTCTGACCTTGCTGATTTGTTTAAAAACGACACCATTGGTGCTAGAGCGGAATTCCGCCATCAACTCATAACTTGGAGGAAAACAAACGTAAGTATTGTGAATCCCTCTGTGATCATTTCATGAAGAATCTTTTTTGTTGCAAAATTCCTTCAGGGGTATGGTAGCGTGTCGACGTGCGATACAGCGTCCGCCAATTCTGGTTTTGTTGACTTTGTGCAGCAGTGGCGACAGCGGATCAACAATGGCATCGAATCTCCTTCATGCTCACAAACATCCAGTTCATCTTCACATGACTTCGTAAGTTTATATATGAGGCACCTCACAAACCCAACAAAACATTAAACAAGTTTTAAAAACCTACAATTTTTAAGGATTTGCAGCAAGTGTTAAGTGCCCATCCAACTGGCGAGTATGTTCTGCGACTGGACAAACTAGATGACGCTGGGAGGAAGATCTTAATTGATGCCACTGTGTCGTGGTTTATTAAAAGAAAAATCAAAATATGCCGAAATACATTCCAATCTATTGCGCAAGATATTGCAAACAGGTTTAAAGATGACAAGGTAAATTATTTATTCATTACAAAACTATTTTCTAAATTTTCACCTATTTTCAGTCGATTTACTACCACAAAGATCCTATTACCTTGAGACCAGCAGGCCGCTTGTACGATAAATATTACAACACATTGAAGAGATTGAGAATTCACCGGATTTCCTGAAAGTTCAACTCCTGAGGCATCACCGACAGAAGAATATACATTTACTTTCGAGGATGAAAAATGTAACGCCACTACAATAGCTTTTGTTTTGTAATTATTTCATATATTTTTATGCAGCTGCCTATGACTGGCTCAAACTTTTTGATTCGCCGTGGAGCACAGTTGAAGCAAATTGGAAAAAACCTTCAAAATCAGACGACAAGAAATTTTTAACTCAAGTGGTAGCACATCAGCGAAAACTTTACGGGCCTGGAAACTTTTTTCCCATTCATGTGGATACAATCTGGTAAATGGATTTCTTAGTTTTACGTTTAAACTTGTCAGAATTTGTTGACTAGTTTGAATTTACAATCAAATGGGTCATATTAATAAAAAAAAAAAGATTTTTCTCAAATTTGACATCAATTTGTATGAAAAAACTTTCAAAATTTGAGAAAATATTTCGAAAAAGCATTTTCTTTTTTATTAAATGACCCAATAAATACAAAAACTTCCTCTTGAAATACTATCATATATGAAAGTAATGCGTCATATTAATAAAAAAAGCAATTGCTTTTTCAAAACCTTTTCTCAAATTTTGAAAGTTTCTTTATACAAATTGATGTCAAATTTGTGAAAATTTGAGAAAAAACAAAAACCTTTTTTAATCATATGACCCAATATTTAAAGGCACGGCTGCAAACCGGTTCTGAATCGGGTTTTGAACCGAACCACTGCTGTGAAACCCAATCAACTATCATATAATAATAGATATGCAAGTTGGAAGTAGCTCAAAAATTTCCCTGAATTTTCCTTTTTTTGCTTAGAGGGTGTTGATCAATTTCTTCCATAAAATACAAAAAAATAAATATATACATTTTGCATTTCTCTTTCAAAAAAAAAATCGGAAAACTTAGAAAAATGTTTGAGCTAGCTCCAACCTTCACAATATTATTCTTTAGTCGGTTGGCTGTAAAAATGGTCGCTACAGAATTTAAAACTCAAAATTTAATAATGCTTTCCTTTATTGCAGATTGATATTGACTTCAATGCTCTAGATCAGAATTGCTCACAGCTAACAGAGAAATGGCAAGGTTTTAGAACAAAAATTATACCAATTTTGAATAAGAGGGTAAAGGATATTCAAAATCTTCAGCACTTGAAAAAAGTTAATGAGATTGATAAAGGTTTGTTAACATTGGTAATAATAAGATTAAATGATTTTTATAATAAATATACTTTTATTAAAGGTTCAGATCAACTTATAGCATTGTTACTGCACGTTGTACTACGACCTAATATAAAGCGGAAGGCAGGTGACAAAACGATTTTTAGAAGTACTATCAAAGATTCTCAGCTCTCGTTTTTACTACAAGTTAGTACTGTGAACGATGTCGAAAATAAATTGGATAATCTGAAAAAATCACTTTATGCACGCGGTGAGACATTGCAATCACTAATTATCGCAATTGGCAGTGATTTAAGTAATTGCAAATTTTATGTTTACTATGACGACATTAAGTATGAGCTTCCTTCATTTTTAAGCGCTTTAGACATATGTTTTAAGACTTTCCATGTATTACATTTAAAATATCCACAGGATAGCATTGATTTTTGGACGTTTGTCCAAAGATATTTTTATTCCATTGAATTGACTGAAGATAAAACTTCTCCAAATGTCCTTTGTTTGCTGAGGGACTTAATTTAATTTATTAAGTATAGATACGTAGTCACATAAATCTTAACACCTTCAATATTCAATAATTATTATTAAATATTATATATGTAATAGTTATTATTTTTTTGTTTAAAATGGTTTTGTGTTTTGTATGCAACAACAATTTTGAAGATGTTGATATACTCGTAAATCATCTAAAAAATTTTCACAATTTAACATCATCTAGTACTTTTTACTGTCTACATTGCTGTCATTATTATCAGTGCTTGCGAACTTTTAAAAGCCACTTTAAGAAAGCGAATTCATGCATTTCTAATATAATTCCAAATGTTCAGAGTCTTAGTGAATCCGAAAATAATAATTTTCCACCACAATTAAACCAACGGCAATGTAATCAAGAACGTCAAGATATATACGAATTTTCTCATGCTGAGTTCGAAAATATTGCGCTACTATTTTTGAGTAAATTGCACAGTCAATCAAATTTCGCTCGATCTGATGCCGAACGACTAATTGATGATATAACAAATGATTTGCTTTTGCCAATAGCACACTTTTTAGAAAATATTATATTCGATTTTGCAGAACAAGAAAAAGTCCAACTCAGAAACTTAGTTTCGTTTTTAAGAGATCCCTTTTCAAAATGTAAAACATTTTACAAATTTTTAAAGGAACTCAAAATGAGAAAGTGCTTTGAAGACCCACAAGAATTCGACATTGATAATAGAATTGCGCCCGTAGTTCATCACCATGCAATTTCGTTAACAGAGCAACACAGTAAGGGTGTACTAATGCCATTACGATTTCAAATTAAACATTTCTTCGAACTTCCTAATGTATTAAAAGATACTTTGGAAAATACACAGAAATTCCTTGCAAATGATAATGAATTAAAAAACATTGTTAATGGAAAATTATGGAAATCTAAAATGAGTTTATTCAGCGATAAAACAGCAATTCCTTACGTTATTTATTTTGACGATTTTGAAATTAATAATCCTTTGGGTTCCAACAGAGGGACACAATCAATAGCTGCTTTTTATTACAGTTTCCCTACTTTGCCGCAGCACTACCAATCGCGACTAGAAAATATATTCCCTGCTCTTTTCTTCAGAAGTAAACATAAACAGTTTGGAAATGACGCATCATTGAAATTACTGGTAGAAAAAATTAAAAGTCTTGAAGAAGGGGGAATTGACATTAGCTTTGATAATACAACCAAAAAAATTTATTTTGTACTAGCACTAGTTGTGGGTGATAACTTAGGTTTAAATAGTATTCTCGGCTACACTAAAAGCATTTCATCTAATTACTTTTGTCGATATTGTTTATGCAATAAAGAAGAAACTTCGTACATGGTCGAGGAAATAGAGAGCAAACTTCGGAATGAGTTAAACTATACAGAAAACCTTGCTACAGAAGATATACCAGAGAAGCGAATAAAGTTAACTGGTATATCTGAGAATTCCATTTTCAATGACATTAATTCATTTCATGTGGTAAATAATCTTACCGGGGATATTATGCATGATATTTTTGAAGGTGTTTGCCGATATGACGTTTCGAAAATATTACTCCATTTTATTGAATCCGAAAAATTGTTTACAATTGAAATTTTAAATGATCGAAAAAATCAATTTCAATACGGTGAAATTGAGTTAAGTAATAGATCTCCAGAAATTCAAATATCACATTTGAAATGTCAAAAACTTAATATGTCAGCACGAGAAATGTGGACATTTTGCCATTTTCTTCCAATAATAATTGGGGATTTAATACCACTACACAATAAACATTGGAAACTTTTTTGTACATTAATTGAAATTATAGACGAGATTTTAAAAACAGAGTTCGACGATGAGTCCCTTAATAAATTAAAGTTAAAAATTAAGAACCATCACACGATTTACGTACAACTATTTGGCCCGACGTTAAAACCGAAATTTCACTTTCTACTTCATTACGCTACAATCATAAAAAATGTAGGACCTCTTAAGCATGTATGGTGTTTTAGGTTCGAGTCCAAGCATAGAGAGATTAAATCGTATACCAATTGTATTACCTCTAGAAGGAATGCACCTTTGTCAATCGCTGTTAAATGTATGATAAAGTTTTCAAATCGGTTACTTTTGAATAAAGGATTAGATAGAAACTTATTTTTCGAAAACCAATCTAAAGAAAAATTTAAAAACAGATATTACAGTAAAAAAGTAAATATAAGTTCTTTTGAATGCGAAATATTAATAAATGAAAGCTACAATTTTATAACAAAAATGGAAATAAAAGGTACTACTTATAAAATTGGATATTTCCTGATGTCAAAATCTTTGAAATTATTTGAAATCAAAGACATTATTGTACTTGAAAACAACAAAGTAATTTTCGTATGTGTTGAACACACAATTGCAATGTTTTCGGACCATTTTCAGTCATTTCCAATTATAAAAAGTACAGACCAATTTTATCTATTGGACTTTTCTGAATTATATTATTCACCTCTTAATACAACTCTTTCCCCTAATGGAATTACGTATATTCGTCCAAAGTTTTTTTGAAACTATACATGTATAAATTTTATATATATTTATATCTTTGTCTTAATTTACAATAGTAAAACACATAAAAATATGTACTTATTAAATTAAAAGTAATAAATAATAATAAATTTATTTAAAATCAATGTTTTTTTAATCACTTCTTTTTATTTTAGCAAAGTAACTATTAAAATGGTAAGTGGACAAGTTTTGGAGGTAAAAAAATAGTAGTTTTACCATTTTTATAGTACAAAAACTATTTTCCATAGTAAACTAACTATTTTTCATGGTAATAAAACTATTTTCATGGTAAAGTAACTATTTTTAATGGTAAAAAAACAATTTTTTGTGGTACACGAACTATTTTCGTGGTACACGAACTATTTTCGATGGTAAGCTAACTATTTTTAATGGTACCCGAACTATTTTCACGAACTTTCATAATAACAATTTTTTGTCGGTTTGATTTACAATTTTTTTCGGTCACTGCAATTTTAATCGTCTTTTTCGGTTAGATTTACCTCTCTTTTTCTTTGTGTGTAGAATTAAGAGGTAGCATAGGTAGATTAGAATATGAATATTCAAATAAAGCCAGTCTTGATTTGACAACCAAAAATATCTGGCGCCCACACGGGAAATCCGCATATATTCTCATAGAGACAACGGATCAGCAGTAGGACAAACAAATACCCACAGGACATAAAATCCTTATAGAGAAAAGGGTATAAGCAGCAGCCGGTGATTCAAGAAATACCCACGGGATAATTTTGGAAGCAAGCGGCAGAGTGCAGTAATTTATTCAATTTATTTCATTTTAGTGTAAGTCAGTGCATTATATTTAAGAAAACATTGTGAACAAGTAAAACACTGCTTCTACAATTAAAATTGCAGTATAAGTTAAGTGAGTTATATTAACTTTTTTTTTTGGATTTAAGGTATCCTAGTGGTGTAGTGAAAAGTGAAAAAAACAGTTGATAACAAAATGACTGAACAAATCGCAGCAACAGTACAAATGGCTGTAGAAACGGCATGCGCGGCCGTAATGATGGCATCAATGATGCAATCGCATGAACAGGCAAATAGTGCGTTAAGGGAAAAAGTAGACGAGTTGACGGGACTAGTAAATACAT